GGCCCCGCCAGGGCAAGGCGCGTCAGGCGGCTGCACCTCCGACCGCGGGCGTGGCTGCGGCTGCGGCTGCGGCGGCCATGTCGTCGGCTGCCAGTGCGCTCTTCGGCGCGCGACGCGACGAGGCTGCATCCATCTCGCGGCAGCACAGCCCGGCGGGCGCATCGCCGCAGCTGCCCACGCGGCCTGCTGCGGCACCCAAGGCGGCGTATGCGTCTCCCCACCGTCGCGGTCCCACGCGCAGTTCCACTGCTTCGCCTGCGCCCCCCACCGCACTCAAGCGCCGTGCGATCCCGCGCGAGGCGTCGCACACCATCTCGTCGGCCGCGCGCAACAAGGACGAGGGCAACGACCATTTCCGGCGGGGCGCCTATGCGGATGCCGAAGCGAGCTACACGCGCGGCATTGCAGCTCTCGAATCGAGCTCGTTTGATTCGGTTCGGCTGGTGCCTCTGCTGAGCAACCGCGCCAACGTGCGGTTGAAGAACGGCGATACGGCCGGGACGATCGGCGACTGCGACCGGCTGGTGGGCATTGTGCTTGCGCCGTTCGGTGGGGGCGAGCGCGATGCGAGCGGGAGGGTGGCCGTGTATCGACCGAGCCAGGAGGCGGATTTGCCGGCCGAGTTGGGCGACGTGAAGCTGCGCGAGACGTTTGGCAAGGCGCTCGTGCGGCGCGCGCAGGCGCTCGAGGCGAGCGAACGCTGGAAACTCGCCCGTGCCGACTGGGCTGTGCTGCTCGAGTACGAACAGCTCGAAGGCTCGGGTGTGCGCACCACCACCTCGCACCTCACATTCGCACGCCAGGGCATGGAGCGCTGCTCGCGGATGCTCAACCCCACCTCGCGCGTTGCTGCGTCGCAACCCAAACCCAAACCTGCTGCTCCTCGACGTCCCCCCGCCACCGCCAGTACGGGAGGGGTGGGAGGCGAGGCGAGTGCGGCCTTTGCGCAGCAGCAGCAGAAAGCGGCGGTGGAAGAGAGCGAGAAGTTTGCGCTCAAGGACGCGGTGGATGCCAAGATCGACGCGTGGAAGCGCGGCAAGGAGACCAACCTGCGCGCGCTCCTCTCGTCGCTCGACACGATCGTGTGGCCGGAGCTGGGGTGGAAACCGATTGCGCTCCATCAGGTGCTCGACGCCGCAGGGCTCAAGAAGAACTACACGCGCGCCATCGCCCGTCTCCACCCGGACAAGATCCAATCCTCGGCCACCACCGAGCACAAGATGATCGCCGCGGCTGCGTTCCATGCGCTCAACGAGGCGTGGAATGCCAGCCAGTCCTAGTGCCACTATCCCAGCGTAGAGAACTGCCAAAGGCGAGAGAGAGCATTTACAATATAATTCAAGCGGTACAAAGTGAAGAGGATCGAGGATGAAAAAAGGTGGAGAGCGGGACGGAATTGGCTTTTGAAGGTTGGGGGCGGTATTGTTTTTGAGGAGGTTAAGGGCTTGGGCGGACTACCTTCTTGCTGCTGGCTGTTGTGGAGCGGCCTGCTGTGGCTGTTGGTTTTGCTGAGCCTGGTTGTTCTGGACGCTGAGGACGGAGCTGGCGTATCTTGCGACGAGATCGGTGAGGGTGAGATAGACCTTCCTGACGCCAGGAGGGCAGCTTTGGTGTTGAGTGTAGCCGTCGAGTACGGCGCCGACGTGTTGGAAAGCGGCCCTGGTGAAGCTGCTCATGTAGAAGCGGAGTCTTAGAAAGTGTGCATAGAAGAGCGGAGCCATGAGCGAGTTTCTCCAGAGCAGTGCACCAAAGAGGACGCGGGCAAAGATGGCCACCTCTGCATACGCCACGAATCGCATGGCAGGATCGTAATTCGCCTTGACCCAACCCTGGACCATCTTGGCCAGCTTGGACTGTTGTTGCGTTGCGCCCTGAGCCGCGCCCTGTGCCGGAGGAGTCGGCGTTGGAAACACGGCAGGAAGGATTGTCGTCCTCACGAACGTCAGAACGTGAAAGAGGGAAAAGGTGACAAAGGGGAGGATGGTGATAAAGATGGGTTTGGACATGAACCAGTAGACCGCCAGAAAGAGGTACTGGACATTTTCATCCATCAGTGCCCGTTGGATGTACGGCTTGTTGAGCTGCGGCACTCCAAACGACTTGTACACCACCACGCAGTACGACAGGATCGCTCCGAGATACGTTGCGGTATACCAGCGTGAAAGACCGCCGGATTGGGTGGCAAACATGAGCGTACCCGCAAGATACCGAAGCCCGGCAAAGAAGCACAGGAAGTGGCCCGCCGCCCAAATCAGGTGCGGCGTAGATGCCGATGGTCGTGGCTATCCATACGAACAACCAGAGTGTCAGCAAAGATTCACACCAGACAAACGCATGTTGAAAAAGCGACTCACCATGATGGGGCGCAAAGACGGATGTGTCGGTTGGAGCTGATCGAGGTGGAGATGGAGGCGGGAAGAGATAGCGTCGGATTCACGCTTTGGCCGCCTTTTCCTCCACCTTGGAATGCGGACGAAGCTCGAAAGCGCGCATCGGCCACGTCCAAAGCACCGCCGCCGACCTGCACCTGGCTTTCCGGCCGGCTTTTCTTTTTGGGCGATTTGGGATCGGAATCGGGCCTCGACATTCGCAACCTTGGCCCGATGGCAGCTTGGCTTGGCTTGGCTGGCTCTCGCCGGAAAGGCGCAGTTTCATGCGGGACTGTGCGGGCGCAGCTGCACGCGTCATGCAGGGCCCTCTCTGATTAGGCCCCCGTCGATCTCGCTTCTGACTCGACCACCATATCCGCTCTCTCGACGCATCCATCGCAGCCATGATCGACAGAATACCTTGCTGACTCGCTGAAAAACCCCATCACAATAACGATGAACGACGAACACGCTGCCGCCTCTTGGCCGCATCTCTCCACCTCGGCCTCTACGACGGCGTCGAATACGGCGCCACCCACGCCACCCTCGCATCGCGCACCTGCGAGCGCAAAAGACGAATTCGACGAGCAGACCGGGTTGCCGGCGCTGCATCTGCTCAATATGGCGTGCGACGATGCAGTGTCGGATGGGAGCGACGAGGCGGACGGATTCTTTGCGCTCGATATGGACGTGAGCATCGATGAAAGCCTGGACGCCTCCTCGGCATCTGCACACGCGCATCCGGCACTACGCCGCGCATCCGAGTGCACCTACTCGTCGTCTCCACTCCAGAACGTCGGACTGGACCCGGTCATCGCCTGTCGCTCGCGCACTTCGCCCACGCACTCGGACACGCCCGCCGTAGCCGAAACAGCCTCGCCGGCGAGCTTTGGACCCATCGCGCCCGAGGTGGATCAGAAGGGCAACCTCGAATACAAGCTCAAGATCCTGCCACCGAGCAGGGAGCGCTTCGACCGATTGGCGACGCAGCTCAAGTGGCGGCTGCTCGAGGGTGGAGGCGTGGCCGTGTACGAGATCGGCGTGCTGGACGACGGCACGCTCATCGGGCTCGATCCCGACTCGATGAAGGACTCGCTCAAGCTGCTTGCCCTCATGGCAGGCGAGGTGGGCGCCGAGTGCAACGTGCACCGCGTCCTGGCGCTCGAACGCATTGCGGCTGCATCCGAACTGAGCCTACGTGCGCTGGCGCCGCAAGAGGCAGTCGAGTGTCTGCAGCCGTACATTGCATCAGCATCGGCGGCGGAGGCGGAGCTGCAAGAGGATGTGCGCAAGCAGCTCATGCACGAGGGCAAGGCGGGAATGTACAGCTTTGACATCGCCGAACAGCAGCAGCAGCACATGCCTACCGCGCTGCATCCTTCGCCGTCCAAGATGGCTTCCCGCTCCAGCAGCAATAAGCGCACGCTGGACGTCGACGCTTCGACAGTGGTGTACCTGCCGTCCAAAGAGGAGAAGCGTCTCATGCGGGCCGAGGCGCAGGCACAGGCACAGGCACAGGCGGAGGCCGAGGTGGAAGCGGACGAGCGCAGCATGAACAAGATGACACGCGTCGCCGACTCGGTGCAGCCCAAGACGGCGAGGGCGCGGGCACGCACGCAGAGGCACACGGTTTCGGGCTACGAGAGCGTCCTCGCCGCAGCCGGCGTGCTGTCCGAGCGTGCTGCGCGCAAGCTGTATGGCAATTCGCAAGAGCGAGAGCATGCACACGCACACGCACACGCACACGCACACGCACACGCACACGCACACGC